GGCGGGTAGGATGGTTGGATTTAATAGTTCGTTCTTTGTCTGTATGGGCAACTTACAGTAAAGTAGCGATGTTTCAATACGGTTAAAGCTGTCCCATGCCGCCTTCCTTCTTCTGTGATTATCCCGTGTAACGAGTTCATGCGGTCTATCTGACTGCCGAGATACACTTAATTGGTGAGTTCTTCGGGTTCTTCACCATTTGTTTAACAATAACAACCGTCGAGGCAGTGTTCGTTCTGTATGGATTTTGTCCTGGAAAGGATAACCTTCATCCGATTGTGACTGGTTCTTATTATAACTACTGGGTCTTCTGTTGCAGCTCCATTGTGTGCTGTGCGAAGATAATGTAGATTATTGTGAATAATAAATATAAACCGCTTTTTTTATGTTGACACTGTTACACAAGTTTAGTCTGTTTGAAAGTGACTGATTCCTTGACATAGAATGTTAGCGAATATATAAAAGCGATACAATAAGCAACAATAGCATCTATATTTTACCTGATTTACGTGCCTTTCTCTGCTCTGCCTGATAGGCCTAGAGTATGTTGCTATGTTTTCATACACTGCTGTTTGTCGCCACAGACGTTGTTGCTTGGGGAATTGGTAAAGCTTTAGTTTATCCGCCATGTTTGAGATACAATCTGAAACATCGATTATCTGTAATGGAACAGGCCCATCTACTTTACTTTCTGTTTAATAAGTTATCTTGTTTCATGGTACTTCACATTTAACGAAGAATAACCCCACCGAATATTCAGTGGGGTTTTGGGCGATTCATTATCGTTGTGCATCACTTTTAAACTTTTCATTGCTAATCTTGAATTTAAACAGACTACTTTTCTTAAGAAGTATTCTCCAAAAACTGCTTAAAATTGTTTACTTTTTGTAAAGAGTACATGCCTGTGCTCTGATCTGACAAAGTTTACCTATGCATGTTTAGGAAATCTGGTCAATGGAATCACCCGATGTCGGTGCCAGCTCACTTGGGCAGTAGAGACACCGCCTGTGGATATTTAGCTAAATCGATTGTAAAATTTTTCGATTCTTGTGAACACTTAGTCCTTGATGGCATTGTTAGCTGAGAATTTGCAGCAAAGCACTTATTTGGAATCTCTTCTTTTACGACCAGTTGTTTTCCAGATTTTT